ACTTGATGTGGAGGATTATGAAAGGCGTTATCTCCTAAGTCTAGAAGAAGAACGACCTGCCCTGATGAATGACAGAAAGCACAAAATCTGTAGCATGTATGACAACTTAAGGGGGAAATTGCCTGGACAAGAGAGGTAAGAATTGGGCACTTTTGAGGAAAACATGAGACTAGCAGGACTCCTTACTCACTGAACCCAGCTATGGACACTTCTGCTTTTTCCTTCCTTAACATCCCAGTAAGCTCAAGGTATGTCCTGTTAGCCTAACTCAAATGCCATTTCATATGAAACATTTCATAATCTTCCAAGCCAGGAAAAAATATCCCTTCATCCTGAATTCATTTATTCAGTAAATACCTATTCAGTATCTAGTAGGGGCTGTGCTTGGCACAGAGATACAGTGGGGAACATTATTTGGTTTTTGTTTTTGAGCTTCCAGATTTTATTTGGTATATGCTTACTAGCATGTTCAACCTTGTAGTCTTTGTATACTTTCTTCTCTACAAAAATGGCAAGTGTGAACATTTATACTTCCTTGAAATTTGCATGGAATGCTGGAAACCAGTCAATCTTACAGTGGAGACTAAGTTCCTTACTACATCTTTTTTCTGTCACTGTCTCTCCCCAACCCTGTATCTGGAACAGAATGTTACTAATAGTAAACGTTCTGTAAACCCCAATGAATTTGGTGAATGCAAGAGGACTGTGTCCCTTTCCCTTTGCCCATTCAAGAGAATTAATGATTCTTCTAAGCAAAGAATCTAAGCCAGAACATATGCAAAACAGCACAATAAGAAGAGGCACCTTCTTTTCAACACTTCTCTTCTGGAGTTTGTCTGACAGGCAACTAGTTGAATAAATATGGGTTCATCCACTGATTGGAATATTACACATCCATTAAAGTGTATGGAGTTGATGTATATTCATTGAAAAAGTGTCACAGGATGTTGAGTGGAAAAAAAAAACAGGTGACAAAGCTGTTTGAATTCTGTGGGCTTTTTTTTTTTCTTAAAAGGAAAAAATATGCAGTACACAGCAAAAGTCTCTTCAGAATGATAGCACTAATAATAAATTAACCTTGGGATTATTTGTTTACTATGTTTTCAGATTTTGCTGCATTAACCGTGTTTTATATTTATGTAGCTACTTAAAAGTTAAAGGAAATTAATGCATATCCTTTAACCAAGTTGTTTTAACATACAGTTTGTGAAATGATGATTCTCTGCATTTTTGAAAATTGAAACATTACTTTTTGGTTGAGTCTTATAGAAGAAATTTTATTTTGTAGTACAGATAATTACAGAGTGAAAATGAATGCAGTATATTCATTCAGTAAGAAGAAAAGAGGATTTTTGACATTGTTCTTGCTGATCTATGTAAGCAAACCTATTTTTCTTCCTCTGCAGGCCAAGTGATGACCACTTTGTGCAGATCATGTGTATACGAAAAGGGAAGAGAATGGTTGCCCGCATTCTTCCCTTCCTCTCCACAGAGCAGGCAGCTGACATTCTCATGACAACAGCCAGGAATCTCCCTTTCCTTATCAAGAAGGATGCGCAAGATGAGGTGATCTACTATGGGGGCATCTTTCCTTTGGGTCCTCATAGTTGATAAGATCTCTAGAATCCAGATTTCTCTTCCTCTTCTCTTTCCTTCTGTGTTGTTTTGTCTGACATTTCATCAGTATGATTTGATTATTTAAAGCAACACTTTAATCCAGGTCTATATTTTTAATCCCATTTTTGGTTCAACAGACCTTGTTCCTAAACACAAGGAAAGCAATAATTTCATTTTACTTGGTGAAGTTGTGATGCTCTGTTCTGTATTATAATTACTTGGGGAGCATCTCTTTCCCAAACATGCTGATTCAGAATTTAGAGTGGAACGATCAGGGCTTCTGTGTCAATAACAAGGCCCCCAGCTGAATCTGATGCTCACTGAATTTGCAAACTTATGGTTACTTTGCTGGATATAAAGTATCACTCATGGGGCAGTTACCAGTAATTTAACATTGGCCGATATAGACTTGTTTGAATGGTATCCCACAGGAATTGAGCCAGCGCTTGTAAGTAACTTTTATCAGTCTAAAGGAGGCTGGAATTTGAAACATGACAATCAAGATCACAAGTTAACTCTTCCTAAGATTTGCTCTTAGCTTACCCTTCTCATAACAGTTGAAAAGAGTAGCAGAATTTAGAATAGTCTTAGACATTCAAAGCAAGAAGTCGATGAGTGTAACATAAAGGGCTAGTATTATTAAGTGTAAGATTCAAAACAATATAATTTATGAGAGTAAGCCTATATTGTAGACTAAAAGTTAAGTAATAAGCAACTGGTAATAGTACCATGAAAACAAATGATGCCAAGATTCCTAAGTGGTATGGTAGGAAAGAGTTGAAAATTACTCCTTCTGAAATAATAAGCTGAAATTTATTATCTGCAGGAGAAATGAGTATGAAGCTTTGGGTTCATCATCAAAGAAATGACATGGGATTGAGACAAGTACATATTTTAAATATTTCAAGAATAAAAAATGAGTTGGAGGAAAGTTGAAGGATTTGAGGTTTATCCTAGAAAATAGAAGATAAGATTAAAGTAACAGTGAGGCAGGCACTCTTCTTCATAAGATCAGAGGAACTAAACAATGGAAACAAGTTTGAGAAACTTTATTCATGTAGCAAATATTTATTCAGCACCTCTGTATACCAGGCACTATTTTAAGGTCCTAGAACAGGAGCACCTAACTCTAGGTGCTAGGAGCCAGGAACTCAAAGATGTTTGCCTTAGTGGAGCTTACCTGCTAGACAGTGTCTGTATATGTATTTACCTGATTAAATATAGAGGCTGTTTTTGCTGGTATGTGTTAAGAGTGATAGAACATCTCTACATTTCCTGAGATAATAGCTTGCCCCAGGTCTGAGGTATTAAGTATACAAGGTAATCTGGAATATCGTGTGCCAGAAAGCAAGAAGCTACCAGATTACTAGGGTCCTATGTAAAAGATGGAAAAAATCAACTTGAAGGGACTCCTGTTGGCCAAAAGTGGGATAATTTGCATCCGAAAGAAAATTATGGCAGTGGATTGAAATATATCAAATATATTTAATTTAATGAGTTCATAATGATACCAAAAGATATGTTAATCACCTTGAGATATTGTTAAACCATCAACTCATTATTCTGAAAACTAGTAAATAAAGGAAAAGAATCAAGCCTTTATCCTGCCTGCCTGCTCATTAACAACCAAAAATCCTGGTAACTAGAGAGTTGATAATACAAAGTTCTTCAGATAGAAGAATTTCAATAATATGCAGTAAATGAAAAGAAATTATAATATTAGAAAATGACAATTTTACAACTCCTAATGGAAAAGCAAGCAGTCATCAATGCGGACAGCAGTCATCACTATTGCTAAAGGCGTTTAGGTAGTAGAGGAGATGGGGAACTTTACATGGTCGGAGCAGGCTGACAGTACCTGACCCACTGATCACTGTTCCCACCAGGAAGGGAACAGCTAGACTATGCTCCGTGACGTGACGCAGCAGGAAACACACAGCTCTCTCCACGGAGCCTTCTTCCTCTCCTCCACCCACTCCCCCATTGAACTTGAATCTAATCAAACCTCTAATTCTCATCATCAGTTTTTATTTATTTCACCCCAAGAGTTGGAACTAGCCAGGACCAACTGGGACAAATGACCCAGTTTCTTCAACAAACAAATGGCATGAGAAAAGGAGGTGAGCAGTGGCAAAGGACCTGTTAACAGATTTTAGAAGCTCTACCAGCGAAATGCAGTATATTGATCTGGTCTGAATCATGATTAGAATAAATCAGCTGCTAAAAGACATTCCTGAGTCATTGGAGAAATGTGAATTTGGAGTACATATTGGGTGATACTAAGGAATCCCTGCTAAGCATTAGGTGCAGTGATATTGTGAGAGATTCCACTAAAGATACAAACTGAAGTAGTTACGGATAAACTGGCATAGGAGGAACATAAGTTTCATAAGATGGACAAAATGTTGATCATTAAATTGTTGTTGAAGTTGGGTGGTGGAGAACCAGACTATGTTATGCTGTTCTTTATACTTTTGTATATATTTAAAAATGCTTTAATTTTTAAAGCTTTGTATATTTAGAGTAGTAGATCACAAAAAGTCTACTCCCATCTAAAGTAACACCAGCCATCACTTTTTACACCATGGGCACTGCATGCTAGGAGCAGTCTTCAATGCCTTTCATGCGTTACAACCTAGTATATTGGAAGCTCTGTGCTCTAGGCCGACCCTCATGACTAAAAGAAATGAATAAAGCAGGCTAGAATTCAACAGCCGGGATTCAGGTTTTGGCTACCAACTTTGTAACTCTGAACATGGGGCTTCTGATCGCTTAGCTTCTCTACTAGTTTATAAAAATGGGGTTATCATTTTTCCATTTCCTCACTGAGCTTTTATAAAGCAAGATAAAATTAAGTTGGAAAATACTTCTTAGTAATTCTATAGCACTCAGAATTTTCCTTAGACTGCTTTTCACACTATTCAGATAGTCAGTTTACTTGTTTCTTCCCCACTGTACTTTAGGTCTCTGAGGGTCTGTCCTGTCTACCTCTTACTTTTAGCACATAGTGCTTGTCACATTGTAGGCATTTACATATTTGTGGGATGAATTAAAATACTGGTGTTTTATCATGAATCTTGCAGTGTGTTAGAGAAGTGATTTTACACCCTTGGTTCACAAAGTCCTGACATTTCCTATGCAAATTGAGTTGAAAAATCTCAGTAGGTACCTGAGAACCTATTATTACGACACTATTAGTATCTGCTAGACTTGGCAGCCCTTTTTTGTTCCATTTTGCTTGAGGCAGTTGAGCATACAGATGATCATCCCCCATCCACTCCCACTGCTGGAGGATGTTGGATAATGTTGCAGGTTATAATGCTCTCACTTGGTATTTTGTAGGTGCTGCCATGCTTATTGAGTCCCTTCTCTCTCCTCCTCTATCACCTTCCATCAGTGACTGTCACCAGCCTTCTGCAACAGCTAATGAACCTACCTCAGAGCGCAGCTGCACCAGCACCCTGCAGTCCTCACCTCACCGCTGTGCTCCAGAACAAGGTGGGCTTGCCCTCCTATGTCCTTGAACTTTGCGAGGCTTCTAGGTTGGAGTTACAGATAAAATATTGGCTGTCACAGCTGGGGCAACTTGTAAAAGAGGCATTTGTCACTCAGGTGTTAACAGAAGCTAGAAATAAAATAGTAGTTTCAACAAAATAAAATGTGATCTATCTCATGGAATAAATCTGGTATAGTATCTCCACAGTGTGGTCAGGGAGGTAGGCTCCTTGAGTTTGCCTTCTCTACCATCCTTGGCGGTGGCTACCATGCCCGTGGCCTCTCGGGGTCCATGATGGTTGTCAAGTTCAAGGCTTCACTTTGCGTCAGGAAGAGAGATACATGCACAGAGCCAAATGATGTGGACTAGCTGTCTCCTGTTTGGACTTAATGTCTCCTGTTTGGACTTAATCTCAATAGCCAGGTCTTAGTCACACATCATATCCAACCTCAGAGAAGGCTGGAAAATATCTTTCAGTTCACACCATTGTTACTGCAAACAAAAGCAGAGTTATGATGTGAGGAGGAAAGCATATTAGGTAGATAAGGTAGCAGTTTCTATCATAAGACTATAAATAGTAGAACATCCCATTTCATATTTCACTTACATTGGGTTAAAAATCCAGAGACTTACAGGGAAAGCATGATAAATAAAGAAGAAAGAACGTAAGCTTTTAGATTCCAGATCTCTTACCCTGAACAGGGTATTTCACTTTGCAGAGCCACAGTTTCCTGATTCATAAAGTAGAGGTGATGAGGTCAACTGGAGAGTTGTCCTGTTAGATGAGACAGCAGCTGTGAATAGTCAGTATAATGCCTGGTACATAGTTGGCATTCACAATGGGCCATCACTACAATGGGGGGAAAAAGCGTTCTCCAGGCCTTCTCCTTCACAGCTGGAAACCTGCTTGAGCATGACTGAAGGGCAGTACATCAGTGGCCAAGAGGTGCCAGTGCCTCAGGGGCCATCAGATGGAGGTTCTGGGGTAATCGGTTATGCCTTCCATGTTGTTTGACTCTTAGTTCAGTTTTGATAAAGGCAATAGAAAACCATAAGATGAGATGAGATGACATAGTGCAGTGTTGTTTTTCTGTCAGTGACATGAGGGACATGAAAGGAGGTTTCCTTTCCTTGAGGTGAACTCAAGAGAGGTAGGATGGAATCCTAAAATAGCCCCACATACCGTTTATGATCAATTATAGCTATGAGTCATACACTGAACTTCATATTACCCCTTTTTCTTTTCATTCTGTGCCCCTTGAGACTCCGTCTTTCCTGCTTTTACTGCCCACCAAACAATCTAATGAAACAAATCTTTGTATGTTTCAATCTCTAAAGCATGTTGCTAAATTTTAATAATCCCAGATATGGTGAATATATGTTTATCTTTTCTCTCTTAATTTTTTAGACTCCTGTTAACATTCTGTGTAAGCTTTTATATTTCCAGATAGGTGTGTCCTTTTTTAAGGAAATTTTCTTTCATACCATGATTGTTTCTGTTACCTTTCTTTGTGCATTTTCCCACAGGTCTTAACACCTTTTTTCTTAATTTAGTATTTTTAAATCTCTATTCAGTGTTTTTTCTTTTTCCATGAACTGTAATTTTCTGTATCAGTATTTATCTCCATTTGACTCTTAATCCATTTGTTCTAGTAAATTGGAGAAAAGCTAAATCCCACATTATCTATGATAGGAAAAACTACCTTTTCATCTCAAAGTGGGGTTGGGAGGCAGAGAGGACACTGAGCACTGGGATTCTTCTGTTTCCATTGACTCTGCTTTTTGTTGCTGTGCCAGGAGCAAGAAACAGCCTCTTAGCTCATGGTTGTCTGATTTTCACCTATTTCTCAGAAAAGCACAACAGTGGGGTAATTTTAATTTAGTGCCATTCCTCATCTGGCACTGGGATCCCCCAAGCAGTGGTGGGGGCGAGATGCAGTGTTGAATTTCATTCTGTTTCCTCTTGTAGTTTGGCCTGTCACTACTCCTTGTCATCCTGAGCCGTGGGGAAGACCTACAGAGTTCAGACCCTGCTACAGAATCGGCGCAAAACAACCAGTGGTCAGTCTAGGCTGTGTTTCTTTTCAGTTCTTTCAGATAATCTTTTCATCCTTTTTCTCATGGTTATTTGTTTTCCCTGTCAGGACGGAGGTGATGTTCATGGCAACCCGAGAGCTTCTGCGGATTCCCCAAGCAGCCCTGGCCAAACCAATCTCTATGCCCACAAACCTAGTATCCCTCTTTTCTCGCTATGTTGACCGACAGAAACTGAACTTGCTGGAAACAAAGCTGCAGTAAGTTTGAAACAGGAGAGTTCCACATCTCACAGAAGTTGGCACTTTAGAGGTTAATGATAAGAAGGCGGCGGGGGCGGGGGGGGCATAAAACTGAATTCAATGGAAGAGACTAACAATTGTTATCGGATACATGAGTATCTAAATATAAAACACAGGGCTGGGTGCAGCTGCACCCTCATCATTGCTACGTGCTAAAGGTAGAGAGGGATCTTAGGTGTTTTGTTAGAATTCTTATAAGGGTGTAACTTTAATGCAAAAGATTGCCTTCTGTTTTAACTCATTTATACAAACAAGTTTCCTTTCTCTCTTTATACCCATAGGCTAGTTCAGGGGATACGATAAAAGATCTCCAAATGTGTCCTGTACCTCCTTTTGGCTGCCACCTGCACTGCTGCCACCACCAATGGAGTGTTTTTAATGAGGGAGGGAAGGTAGCTTACTCCCCAAAGCCTCTTGTGGGACCGATTCCTGTTCACAGGGTTTGTCTCTAAATGCCAGGTATTTCCCTACTCCTCTGTGAAACTTGGCTGGGTGATACTTCTGCTGGTTTCTTGCCATCTGTGTTACAGTTCTGCATGTCCTACTTTTACTCAATTCTTCTCAATTTTGCATTTTCTTTGCCCTAGAGACACAAATACAATCTCTCCCTTTATCCCACTACCACTACTCCAGCTCAGAGTAGATGTAGCCTGCCAAAGGTTTCCTCCCCTCATCCTGTTGAAGCCTTTTTTCATTGCCCCATATTAATATGACTATAGGAGAGCCAGTTAAGTAGAAATCAGTATGTATATGCGTGTGTGTGTTTGTGTATGTTTGTGTGTCTCAACACACATAGACACACACCACTGCATACATTTATGTGGTCTCCTGAGGATCCTTAAAGAATGAATTTTAGATTGAGACATATCCCTCCTCTGAACACAAACCAGCTGATATATTTTTAATCTGTTTATAGTCCATCGTGTAATTAATTTGGGGGGTTCTACTTGTTTTAATATAAATAGAGGGTGTGCAGCACATTAATAAAGTCAGAATTCTTAATTGGCTGATACCCAGCTCTAGGCTGAGAAGTCCTTTTTCTCCTCCCCATGTGTCTTCTCTTTGTTTCTGTCCACCTCAGTGGAAACAACACACGGTTAAGCCTTTTTTCTCACTACATCTACAGTGTACTTAAGCCTGTCCCCTCAAGTACATGCAAGATGCCCAAAATGATCCTAACCTAAAGCCTGCTTCCACAGTGTAACTTTTGCACACTTGCTGTCTTCCTGAGACGACTTCAGTAAGCCATGCTTTTACTTACCTCTTCCCTGTTATTATTTGGTATTATGGGTTGAAACCTCCAAATGTAACCACGCAAGCTAAGCTTGGCTTGTTGTTGCTCTTCAGTCTCCCCTACACCATGAGCAGAACTGCTGTCCTGCTTTGTCTCACCCAAGTCCCTTTCCCAGGCAGCCAGGGGCCTGGGTTTGCAGCCCAGCAGAGACAGCCCCCGTGATTCTTTCCACTTACCCTTCTTCCACTCAGCAACCAAGATGAGGGCTTTGATGTCTAGTGATTACAGCCCTCAAGAAAAGTTCACCTGAATTAATCTTTCCTGACTGTCCTGATAGACTTTTTGCTATTCATGCCTTTTCAAGTGTAGTGGGTGGGACAGGTTATATTTAAAGAGAAGAAACATTTTGCACATATACGTGTTGTACAACAGTAAAATCCTCTCCTCTGTTACAACCAGCTGTCCTTGTTCCTGTGTCCATTTTTCCCATTTCTGTAGCCCCAGGCTGCACCAGCTGTTCCCAGTGACATTACTTATCTGCTGACCATTTCCACTATGCACCTTTCCTACCTTCCCTTCACAACTAATCAAGTGAACACTTGATTATTCTTGTTTTCTGTGCTTTATCTTTTTTGTTCAGTTCTAATTAATTAAAAAAGTTTCTAAATTTACATTTTTATAGGGTATTGTAAATAAATGAATTGTATACTTGAAAAAAATGTGTGCCTACTTCTACTTTGTTGTTACTTCTGAACATGATTTTTGGTTTCTGGTTTGTTTAGATAGACTGGCAAACTTCTTGGTGTTGGGAATTGGTAAGGATATTACTGTTTTAGTCTTTTTATTTTGTTGGAAACATCTTTTGTTTATATGGTAACCTTCCTTTAAAAACCTAGGGTGCTTTCAGTTCCCCCACCTCACATTTCAGCTACAAAACAATTATAAATTGTAGCTGATACCCTATAGTTCATCTTCTCCATCCCATCTATCTCTAGACATATGTGGCTATTTTAAGAGCTTTGTGTCACCCAGTTTGGCCTTCAGCTGCCCTGAGAGTTAGCTCTGACATCTCACATTTCATCTCCTCAAGAGAGATGGGGAAAGTTGGTAATTCTTCAGCATAAATTTATGCTAATTTCACACTTGAATATATTATTCTCAGAAGCCCAAAATGCTTCAGCTCTCTCCCCTTTTCTCTACCATGGTGGTGTATGTGGTTGACTCTTTTCCTCGCCACATTTTCTCACTAGTCTTTCAGGGTCAAGCAATTCCTGGCCAAGGAACAAAAGCAGGATTGTCCCATTCCCCAGTGGATTCAGATGGAAATGAAATAAAATCTGGTACAACTCCCAAGAAGAGACCCTAAAGAAGATGGAAGGTGGATCTCCAAGGACTCGCAGGAAATGGCACACATGTTTATGCTGTGTCCAGGTCACTAGCATCTTAACCATATCAAGCTGTTATCATCACTATAGTCTGGACAGTTGGAACATGTGTCACTGGAAAAATGATTTTTCTCTTTGTTTCTATGCTTCTCCACTAGTGGACTGGTTCAATAAGAAATACGTGAGGCCTTTGGTTTGGGAAAACAAAAGATTGAGCAAACAAGAAAGGCAAATAAAAGTCTAAAATGATAGAGAGGGGGATAATTTAACATGTAAGTAGGGTGCGTACTTACAGTTTATTTTTTCCTGATGAGTGGACAGGCCTCTTGGGGTTAAATAGCTTACTTGAGGTGACACAGCTAGTGTGCAGAAGAACAGGGGACTCAAAAAGGATATTCTCATTCCTGTGAGGGAGTAAAACTGTCGTCTCATAAGATTTATTCTCACCTCTTAGATGAAAGAACATTAAGGTCTCATTAGATAGCTCTGCCATGTTAGGGTGGAACTGGCCCTGGGCTGCTCTTTCATTCCTGGAAGACCAGACTGACAAGGTCAGAAGTGAAGACAAGATCCTGTGGTTCACATGCAAGGGAGCTGAAGCTCGGAGAGAGCATGACGGTCCCGTGACTGGTTAGTGAAAAGCCAAAGGAGGAGCTCAGGCTTGCAAGCCCTCTGCTCCCCTCTAGATTACGATTCTCTACCACAGTCTAAGAAATGCTGGGCCTAGTCCAGAAAACAAATGCTCTGTTTCTCATGAGAAAAGACTGAGTTGAAGAAGTAAATGCTTCTACTTTATGAATATAACAATAGCTGACAATAACTGCAAACTGATTTTTGAGTCATGTAGTGTATATGAAATTAAGTGTTTGTTCTAGGTGCTTAAAGGGTTTTTTTAGACTCAGTAACCAAAGACAACAATATCAACCTCCCAGCTAATGTATGTCCAAAATAAATTAGGTGATGCATTAAAATAATTTATGATATGGCACACCATTGAAAACAGATCAGTGTATGTAATCATATAAAGTAAGACCCTGACATATGCTTTGGTTATGTAACTGTATTCCAATTATGTTAATGTGTATGTGCAATTTAATTAGTAGTTTAAACCTATACATGCTGAAGTTACTCTACAAGAAGATATGACAAAGAAATAATCTTCCCATGTTTTCTTCCGCCTGCAACTTCTATAGCTTTTCTTCTTCCTTCCTAATTACAACCCCTAAATAGAAATCGTGCCTCATATCGAATTTACCGTGTATCACAATTCTTCCAAGTGGTAAAGATACCTCAAGACAAATGCTGGGCATAGAAGCCACAGGGCATAAATCTGCAAAGAAGTAAAAAAACTAACCCTTTCAAACAATAAGGCTTCTCTCTCACTTACCAACTTTACATTTCCCTGTATGGCCCTGGAAGATGACTGGTTAGCCAGAGACGGGTAAGATTCCTCAAGGGAGGAACAACCTAAGACAGGTACAGTTGCAGGGGGCCATCAGGTGAGAAATTGGGGATCAACAGAGGTGAGGCTTAGAACCTCCCCCCTCCATTCTGAGAGAAATCTGCTGCATCCGTGGATGTTTTATTGCCCTTGTCTAGCTTGGATTAACACAT